CAGGCAAAGCAAACCCGGCTTCAAACGCGCCAGGAGATAAGGATGCATCTTAAACGAGTTCGTGGAGAGATGCAGAAGATCCGAGAAGACTATAAAGTCGGGAAGAAGCAGTTAGTCAATGGCAGAGTCAAGACATTGAACTTTAAGCCCTGGCTAGAGTTTACGGACGAGACGTTGAGTTCTACACTCTGGAGCAAAGTTGCGATACCCTCATGCGGAGCTCAAAGAGCCATCCAAGGAATCCTTTTCTATGATACCACGAAGAGAAATAACTCCGCCAGAGATGTCAGGCGCGCGCAGCGACCGACCTCGCCCACTTACAGATATGTCGTCGTTGCCCGGCAGTGACGATACCGTCTATTTCACAGGCCTCGATCTTGACAAACATAGTGAGGATGGCGCCGACGATGAAGACGAGGACAATTTACTCGACACGCAAGAGAATATACCCTCATCGCCGCCGTTAGCAGCGGTTGAAGCGGTAGTCGATACACCATGCCCTCGACCGCGCACCTGATCGTCCAACAAGATACAGCAGACGCTCCAGGAACACAGGTATGGATAAAATAGCTCTCAGAGACGCACAACAGGCGAAATTACTACATAATACGTCTATTTGGACTCACAAACGCGGTCTTCCTATCTCTTCGACTGGAAGGCGGCAGCTCCTAAATAGGCCCAAAGACGTGATTTTTTCACTTTTCGTTGTTACTTGCGTCTTTAGGTGATCCGCAGCTATTGATCACATGTATATTTTAGCTATTTGAAGTCGCATTGACGGCACCATGAAGCGAAGCGTAGAATTTCTTGATTTTGCACCCCAAATTGAGGACCCTGCTGTGCCGGATTTTTTGGGCTGTGCCGGATTTTTTGGGCCAACTAAGTGGCGAAGACACTTAGTTGGGCTGCTGTGGCCCCACACCAAGATCAACGGGTAGCCACTTTTTCACACCTTCTACATTTCAGCCAGAACACCACCACCAAAATGCGTCGCGAAGAGGCCAGGCTTCTGGAGGCTCGTGTGCAAAAGGCCAAGAAGTATCTTGATCAAAATCCCACTGCAAAGGTGACCACGGTTGCTCGTCAATTCGAAGTGCCGCGTGGCCGACTCGAAGCCGCCTGGACGGCCGAACCAGCTTGACTGACCGCCAACCAACAAATACGAAATTGAGCAAGCCAGAAGAAGATGCACTATGCCGCTACATCGATCGCCTTGACGCTGTGAATTTAGCCGTACGCAGAGAGTTCATTGTGGATGCTGCAAACCGCATTCTCAAGGTGCGGTCAGGCAAGGCTAGCCAGAGCAACCCGCCCACCGTGGGCATACATTGATCGACCGCTTCGTCAAGCGTCATAAATATCTACTAATGAGCCAAAAGCAGCTGGAATCGAACCGCCAAGCCGCCGAGGATATCCCTACAGTCATTGAGTGGTACAAGAAACTCCACGCTGTAATGCAATCCGAAGGCATTGTGGAAGACGACATCTGAACATGGACGAAACAGGGTTTCGTATCGGGGTTGGGAAAGACCAATTGGTCGTCACAAAGCGCAAGAAAGCCCATTACTTCGGCACTCCTGGTAACAGGGAGTCAGCTACGGCCATTGAGTGCATCTCGGCCGGTGGGCGAGTCTTACCAGCCTTCTTGGTGCTCTGTGGTATCCAACATCAAGCTCGATGGTACGAAGTCATGAAGCACTACCCAGACACACGCATTGCGATGTCACCAACTGGGTATAGTAACGACGAGATCTGCTTGGAGTGGATCTATCATTTCGACGAGCACACGAAAAACAAGACCAAAGGCAACAAGCGGCTACTTCTACTCGATGGATTCGGTTCACACCATACATACCCGTTTATCGAGTACTGTGGGCGCCGCGGTATTATACCCTTCTCTTTACCTCCTCATTTAACACACCTTCTTCAACCACTGGATGTGGTAGTCTTTCAGCCGCTCAAGCATTATCACGCAAAGGCGGTAGACCTAGTGGTTCGTGACGGCTGCACAGATATCACCAAATTGGAGTTCTTGGACTTCATTCAGGACGTCCGGAAGCAAGCCTTTCGTCAATTGACCATCATTTCTGCGTTTCGGAAGACTGGAATAGTGCCATTCAACCAAGAGGTGGTCCTGGCCGTCATGAAAGCACGCAAAGCTCGTACACCTACCCCTGAATTGGATCCGGCCCTCCTGTCTTCACCGTTCGGCACGCCAGTCACCCTCCGGCAAATGCACAAGGCGGCAACGCAATGCCTTGAGGAACGAAGAGACGAAAGGATCCTTCTTCCGCCCCCTCCGTATGCCTTGAGGAACGAAAGGTTCTTCCTTCCGCGTCCTTCGCCACACCTCCACATCCTCTACCCCTACGCACGGACCGCATGCCGCCCGTGCCCACCAGCCACTCTTCACCGCCACCTGTTCTTTTCCCCACCAACCTTCCTGTTCCTGCTGCCCGTTCCTGTCCCGCTCCCGCCCCGGTCCCACTCTCCGGGGCCAACTCTCCTTCTCGTACCGATTGTTCACAGCCATCACCGTGCACCATGCCACGAGAACACCCCGTCACGGTCTCGCCCGAGGAGGTTCGCCGCACTTTGGGTGATCTTGAATCGCAGAGATCCCAGCAGCGCCGTTCCTATCAACGACCTTCACCGCTTATCAGGGTTCCCACGACGAGATCCTCCGCGTCTTGCACGATATGGACCGCCAGCGCGCCGAAGAACGATCCCGCCGCCGTGAAGCTCAATTCCAATATACCGCACACACGCAACAGCCGAACAACCCATCCCCGAGACGACCCTGAGAAGAGCAAGCGCCTCCACTCCACCTCCAACGCAGCCAAAACACTCCCTAGAAGACAAACGCAGCTGCCAGCGACTGCATCACCGAGACGACCTAGAGAGGGGCTATCACCTCCACTCCACCTCCCACGCGGCTAAGGCGCTCCTCCAAAGACACGCGCAGCCGCCGGCCGCTCCATCGCCGAAACGACACAGAGAAGAGGAGACACCTCCCACTCCACCCCCCACGCAGCCAACGCGCTCCTCCAAAAGACACACGCAGACGCCGGCCTCTCCATCACCGAGTCGATCCAGGGCGGAACAACCGCTTCGCCCTTCATCGCCCACACGGACGGGGCGCTTCCCCACGAGGCCCGGGCCTACGCAAGAAACCGTCCAACTCCAGCGAGACTCTGTCGAGTCTGCGCTACATCACCATGACGCCCGTTTCCGCTCTAAAGAGCAGGCATCGTCAACAAGATCCTGGTGCAACGAAGTTCCACGTGCCCTTCAGGTAGCAGCTCCTAGATCGTTCTACCAGGCGTTTACGGACGAGAGGACGTTGCCCATTTCTCACTGCGTCTTCTGCTATAGAAAGACCCCACCTTGCGAGCTCTCAACCATGCAGTGGAGGGGTCGATTGTCGCCCTCCCTGCTGCAGGCGACCCGGACCATCCAGAAGTGTGGCGCTTGCCTTCCGCCGCACGAGCGCGCGGGAGTTGACGTATGCCGCGAGTGTCGCGCCAGCTTCGACGGTGGACGGCTGCCCAAAGCCTGCTCGGTCAACAATATGGCCATCGGTTGCGAACATCGGTACCCTGGCGAGCTTGATGACCTCTCCCGTTGAGGAGAGACTCATTGCCCTGCATGCGCCCTTTGGCTATATCACCAAGTTCACGGTCGACAACAAGACCTGTTCGGGAATCAGCTACCGCAAGCACGTGAAAGGACATATCGTCGTCTTTCCGAACAAGGTGGACGATCTTGTTACCACCGTTCTTCCCATCCCTTGCTGCAGACCATTGAGAATATCCACGTCTCTTGGAGCGGTTCGGCTAAGCCTGGCTCCGCAGACGTCAGACACCTGCTTCAGGTGCGCAAATCTCGAGTGGCGGCCGCCCTGGCGTGGCTGCAAAGGAACAACCCACTTTACGAGAATATCGCAATCGACCAGGCAGAGATGGATGGCTGGCGGTATGCCGACGGCTCCACTGTTCCGACCGTCATCATGGACCGCATGCAGAGAGAGACTCGTCGACCGTTGAGAGGACTCAAACTGACCACATAGTCCCGGACACTGATCGAGGCTTGGAGGAAAACAGTTTCAGAAGCATCGATGAACTTGTGAGCTCGATCGATGGCACCTTCGTCGACGAGTCTCGCGACTTGGACTGTACTCTATCGACTGAGCAGACTCGACCTCTCCTGGTGAGCTGGCGACTCTGTCCCCGACTCGGCTGCCATCGGCCAGGAAGTTGAAACCATATGTGAGACGTCTGCATCCGCCATGTTCCTCTTGATGGACCGGCTGCCTTTGCGGATACCGATAAGCTGTCGTTTGTGGCGGGCATGGCCAACGCCAATCCGGATCCACGTGGCCGCTCTATACCATGCGTTATGCAGGTCCAAACTACGGGAGATCAGCCGTTTGTCCGAGTAGAACGTGGTGCGGACTTTGCAGACAACCTGCACGAAGATTTCTTCCCTCGAACATTTCCCAAGCTTTTTCCGTGGGGAAGGGGCGGCCCGAAATCAAAGGGCGACTCGAGTCGTAGCCGACAAAGCGACGCTGCCGACCGTCGTCCGAATCACTCGCTTAGCTACTGGGCCAGATACGTATTGCAACGGCATGGAGGCCGATTCGCCACCCATCCTGTCTTTTGTTTCTTAGTATTCAACACCCTCCTTCGCTCCTCTAACCGCCGCATCAGCATGGTCCGTGTCGCTAAAGATTCCTTCCACAGGCTCGAGCAAGCGTATGCGAACTTGAACGAGGACCGACTGAAGAGAGCCGAGGCGGAGATGCGGGAGACAAGGACCACGTCGGACCCTGACATATCGGTCTTGCTTCGCGAGCTGTCGATTTTGGCCACGCACAGCCGCTCTCGAACGAATCCCGTTTGCTTATGCGGAGGAAGATACAAGCTGTTAACATTTGGGCCGGTATGCCTGCAGTTTGGATTACCATCAGTCCCAACGACATTAATAATCCGATAAAGATGAAGCTTGCCATTCATAGGCTGCACGATTATGACTCTGCAAAGGAGCTTTTGGCCGATCTCCGTGAAAAGTACGACAGAATCGCCCTCAGCACCATGGATCCGGTCAGCTCGGCCATCTTCTTCCACCGAGAAATATCCCTATTCTTTGACAAATACGTGAATACAGGCCGGGAATCGATCTTTGGGAAGATTAGCCACTACTACGCCACGGTGGAGACGAATGAGCGAGGCAGCCTCCACTTGCATGGACTCCTCTGGCTGGAGGGCAACATGCGGTTACCGAACCTGATGGACGACATGGCCAATCCGCGGAAGAAGCATACCGTGCCCAGGTGATCCGGTATGTGGACTCTGTCTTTCATGAGTGTTTAGACGAAGATGCCGGAAAAGCCGTGCGACAACAGAGGAAGCCCATCGATCCCGTGGAGGAGGTCATGACCAGCACCTCGGCTCTCACTGCGGCCTTCGAAGACGAATCCAACTTCATCGCGTACTGTTGCCAAGTGCACTCCCACACGTACACCTGCCTCAAGTATTCTCTGAAGGGTGTCATCGAACAGGGGGCAGATCAACAGAGACGGACAGCCTGCCGCTTCAAGGCACCGTGGAAGATCGTCGAGGAGACAGGGTTCACAGAGGATGGTCTGCTTCAGATCCGGCGCAATCACCCGCTCGTCAACCGGTATAACAAGTCATTGGCGGTCGGCCTTCGCCACAATCACGACGTCTCGATGATCTTGACCAAAACCAAGGGCCTGGCCATGGTGTACTACATCACGAACTACGCCACCAAACTGGATACGCCGATGTGGAGGCGCATTGCTCTCGCCACCGAGGTTGCCCGCCAACTCCGCGAAGCCGGTCGTCCGACGTCTCGCGCACCAGATCCCGCCCTGCCCGACAACAGGCAGCAGGCAGTGTTGAACGAGAGCCGTCAATTCCTGATGAGAACGGCAAATCGGATCTTCTCCGAGCGACAACTCTCGGCCGTAGAGGTCTGTTACCACCTCCTTGGATATGATACCGACTTTACCAACGTGCCGCATTGGTCTTTCCTGAACCTGACGGCGCTCTATTGGGCAATCTTTCGGCTATGGTCACATCTCCGCCATCAGGCCGGCGAGCTGACGGACGCTGAACAGCCCGCGGAGACAATCCGTCTGAGGCAAGGAGGGCGAACCTTCTATACCTAGACGCGTATGCGTACCGGGGCCATGTTCTACGAGACTTATGCCTGTATGACTACATGTCAATGATTCATTTGGTGCGTCGAAAGGTCGGAGTGAAGACGACTCTCATATTTTCTCGATGGCCAGGATTCCGACTGTGACGACTGGATCCAAAAGCTTCGACGGCCCGACCAGTACGCCATCCCGATCTTCCAAGGATACATCAGCGACGACCATGAGGACGATCACCCAGTCTATATTAAGCGGTACGCTCTAAACCCCGGCACCGTTTTGGCTCTATCTGATAGCCCGTGCAGAAATTCGGTCCTACACTTGGCGCTATTCGTCCCTTGGGAGAAGTTTATTTCTGAGAGCCAAGGCGACATAACCGACATATGGACGACGCATCGATCGGGGCTTTGTCCCCGCCTCCGTTTCCATGTCTCCAACATTGGTCTTTTGAGAAAATCTGCCGAAGACGCGCGCAAGGACGCGAAGCTCTGGGCCAGTCGGTCGGAGGGCGACGACACAATTGACGTCGAGTACCCACTTGACGACGGCCGCGATGAAGAAGAGCCTCCAGCGCTGGCTCATCGTCAGGCCTACAAAGCTCTGCTCCAGATTTTGCGAAATGCCGTGCAGGATACGGACGCCACAAAAGACTCACCCGTCCTTGGAGGTCTAATACACGATCTGTGCGAAGAGAACCCGGCTGAAGAAGAGCAACCTTTCGTCCAACGTCAAGAGGATCTGTACCGGAATATGCCCGATGATCAAGGTGACGCCTTGTGTCAATTCCCCATATCTCGAGACGATGTCCAAGCAGCGGCCAAGGCCCAACAACTATTGCATCTTCGGATGCTGGACGATATTGAGGGTGGTTCTCAGGGCACCGTACTATCCACGAATGGCGCCGACATTGACGATACCCTTGCTCGCTACGGCGATATGGAGTCCGCCGCTGCGCTCCCGGGCAGTGACCTCAATGAACAAGGGCCTCGGATGCTTGTCGACGTCAGTCCGGCAACTAGCTTCGCGGAGATTGGACACACCGCCGCGGCCAGCTTTACACTGAACTATCTACAGACCATGGCCCTTCAACTCGTTTGCCTGTTTCTGGACAAGTATACTGCCAACCCGGACTCAGCCGGTCAGCATCTTCAATACACCGGCGGGCCAGGTGGCACGGGAAAGTCGAGGATTATCGATGCCCTGAAGGGCGTGTTCGCGGCGAGGAACCAGCCGCATCTTCTGCAGATAACCGGCACGTCGGGCAGTTCGGCGGCCCATATTGGCGGCACGACCATCCACTCGGCCTGTGGGTTAGATTCCCATCGCGATCCAAACAAACCGCCTCCCCCCTTCTCGGAGGCGAAGAAGTGGATCTGGAAACAGAAGCTGGTACTCGTGATTGACGAGGTCAGCATGCTGGGAGGAGCCACTCTGCACAACGTCAGTCGTCACCTGCAGGCACTCCGTGACTGTCCGGACGAACCGTTTGGCGGCATGCCCGTCGTCCTACTGATGGGAGACTTCTACCAGTTCGCCCCCGTGCGGGAAACAAGCCTACTGATCATCAGACCGCCGGACCGAACAGAGACCCCCCTGCGACAGGCGACCATCTCTCACCACAGCGGCTGCAGATTGTGGCATCTGTTCAAAACCGTGGTGCTCCTCGAAGACCAAGTCCGCGCACGCAACGATCCCCAACCCGTGCACTCCTGGATCGAGTTCGTAACGGGCGCCAGACCCATCAAGATCTGAGCTTGCTCAACGCCAACATTGTAGGACGCTCCCAAATCACCTTCCACGATGGTTTGCGTGCTATAACGCCACTGAACTGCACCCGGTGGGCCCTCAACATGGAAGCTGTTGTGGGCTGGGCGCGCTTCAACAAGCGGCACATCCGTATCTTTGTCTCGACTCACACCTGGCGTAGCGGCGCGCTTTCTCCAGACATCGTAGCGCGAACCGTCGGACAAGGCGACGACTCTGCCTGCAAAGTCCCCGGCGTCTTCTTCTACGCCCAGGGCATGCCCGTGGTTGTGAACAAGAACATCTACACTGGCCTGAAGGTTGTGAATGGGGCCGACTTTACCGCCGTGGACGTGATAATCGATCCCAATCACCCGGGATACTGCTTGGCCGATGACGTGACCATCCACTTCGGGCCACCACTCGGCATTCTTCTGCAGTCCGAGGAGACGAAAGCCTTGGCGATACCGTCCTCCCTGTGGGGACGGTACTCATCCGCCCCATGTCACATATACTTGACTCGACTAACTCTCACTTCAAGTTCTTGTCCGCAAGATGCACGCGACGTGGACTGCCCGTTGTACCAGCGTTCGTTCTCACTGATTACAAAGCCCAGGGTAAAACGTTCGTCGAAGTACTGTTGGAGCTGCGTGGAAATCGTGTGATCAATGGTGAACCCTCCAAGTGCGATTTTACGAGCCTCTACGTCCAACTGTCCAGGTGCACCTCGCTTCGGGGCATCGCTTCTTGGTCCCGTGAGGTACCATGATTTCATTGGCAATGGGCTGGATCAGGCCATACTTGATGGAATGCAGAGACTCAAGAACTTGGCCGCAGAAACGAGACGGTTATACGAGGACCATAGTTTCGAAAATAGCTATCCCTTCACCGCCGACCAAGCATGGCTGCTGACATGTCCATCATATGCGACTTCATCCTCTGCTTTACCCTGCTCCATCGCGGCCATCATTTGCCTCATCCCCGTCCCGCTTGTCCCGCCCGGAGCTCGACCGTACACGGACTCAGCAAACATCCGAAGCTGCATCGGGAATCGGGAATCCCCATAATGCTCGATGATGTCGCTCTTTTCCACCGCGCTTCGTAGGTCGTGCCATTGCGATGGGGTCATACCGAGTGTCTCGCACTCTTTCTTCTTCTTTGCATCCCACCACGGCGGCAGTAACGCGGGACAACGCTCGACGCGCTCCAGGAAGCGCTTGAAGCCACGCAGCCCATTGGCGGCACCACCATATATGCTATCCGCGTCTGCTTCGCCTTCAATGTTGTACATATCCTCAACGCGCAGTCGGTAGGCGTCGATCAGCAGCCCGTAGACATCTCTTTCCGATCGATCATGCAGCCAAGTGCGATTTTCAAGACGCGTGAAGGGGCGGATGACGCCCTGTTCCAACCCTTCGGAGGCGATAACTTTGCCGTTGTAGGCCCATCTTGAAACGATGTCGTGGCGTCGGCCTGTTTGCCACAAACCTTCTTATGGACCTTCCAGTCTGCCTTCTGGCAATCCCTGGAGCAGTACGGCGTTGTGGAACATTTCGCGCACCTCTTGAGGGCGACTTCAGGCGGCGACTTCTTGCAGCTATTGCACTCGAGGGCCATGATGACCTAATTCCGATGACCAAATCGTTGAAGAATTGCTTTCTGAAAAAGACCGCATAATTGAAGCTCATTTTATGCCGCAGGGAGGGCTAGCTTAGGCTTAAACGGGTAAGGTGCTGCAGCCGCACTACCACCAGACTTGTTGTGCCTTTCCAAAAACCAACCCGAATGCTCGCGCTTTGACTACGCCCAACTCTCGTCCCGTTCCTCAAGGCATTGGCGGACCCTGGAAGGGGCCGGTCTCCTGTTCCTCAAGGCATTGGCGGACCCTGGAAGGGCCGGTCTCCTGTATGCCGCCCGTGCCCTCCAGCCACTCTTCACCGCCACCTGTACTGTCCCCACCAACTTCCTGTTCTTGTTGCCCGCTCCGGGCCCACTCCCGGGGTCCCGGGAGGCCCTCCCGGCCGGCGGGGCAAAGGTCTTGACCTTGACCTAATCGCTCCGCCAACTCTCCTTTCTCGTAGCAATTGTTCACAGCCATCCCCGTGCACCATGCCGCGAGAACATCCAGTCAAAATCTCACCTGAGGAGGTTCGCCGCACTTTGGGTGATCTTGAATCGCAGAGATCCCAGCAGCGCCGTTCCTATCAGCGACCTTCACCGCTTATTAGGGTTCCCCACGACGAGATCCTCCGCGTCTTGCACGATATGGACCGCCAGCGCGCTGAAGAACGAAGCCGCCACCGTGAAGCTCAATTCCAATATACCGCACACACGCAGCAGCCGAACAACCCATCCCCGAGACGACCCCGAGAAGAGCAAGCGCCCTCCACTCCACCCCCAACGCAGCCAAAACACTTCCCTACAAGACACACGCAGCCGCCAGCGACTGCATCACCGAGACGACCAGAGGGCAAGCACCCCCACTCCACCACCCACGCAGCTAAGGCGCTCCTCCAAAGACACACGCAGCCGCCGGCCGCTCCATCACCGAAACGACACAGAGAAGAGGAGACACCACTCCCCCCCACGCAGCCAAAGCGCTCCTTTAAAAGTCACATGCAGACGCCAGCCTCTCCATCCCCGAGTCGATCCAGAGCGGAACAATCGCTTCGCCCTTCATCGCTCACGCGGACGGGGCGCTTCCCCACGAGGCCCGGGCCTACGCGAGAAACCGTTCAACTCCAGCGAGACTCTGTCAAGTCTACCTTACATCACTATGACGCCTGTTTCCGCTCTAAAGAGCAGGCATCGTCAACAAGATCCTGGTGCAACGAAGTTCCACTTGCCCTTCAGGTAGCAGCTCCTAGATCGTTCTACCAGGCGTTTACGGATGAGAGGACGTTGCCGATTTCTCACTGCGTCTTCTGCTATAGAAAGGCCCCACCTTGCGAGCTCTCAACCATGCAGTGGAGGAGTCGATTGTCACCTCCCTGCTGCAGGCGACCAGGACCATCCAGAAGTGTGACGCTTGCCTTCCGCCGCACGAGCGCGCGGGAGTTGACGTATGCCGCGAGTGTCGCGCCAGCTTCGACGGTGGACGGCTGCCTAAAGCCTGCTCGGTCAACAATATGGCCATCGGTTGCGAACATCGGTACCCTGGCGAGCTTGATGACCTCTCTCCCGTTGAGGAGAGACTCATTGCCTTGCATGCGCCCTTTGGCTATATCACCAAGTTCACAGTCGACAACAAGACCTGTTCGGGAATTAGCTACCGCAAGCACGTGAAAGGACATATCGTCGTCTTTCCGAACAAGGTGGACGATCTTGTGGCCACGGTTCTTCCCCATCCCTTACTGCAGGCCATTGAGAACATCCACGTCTCTTGGAGCGGTTCGGCTAAGCCTGGCTCCGCAGACGTCAGACACCTGCTTCAGGTGCGCAGATCTCGAGTGGCAGCTGCCCTGGCATGGCTGCAGAGGAACAACCCGCTTTACGAGGATATCGCGATCAACCAAGCAGAGATAGACGGCTGGCAGTATGCCGACGGCTCCAGTGTTCCGACTCTCATCATGGACCGCATGCGAAGAGAGGAACCGTCGACCGTTGAGAAGACACAAACGGACCACATAGTCCCGGATACTGATCGAGGCTTGGAGGAAAGTAGCTTCAGAAGTATCGATGATCTCGTGAACTCGATCGATCCTCCTTTCGACGCTGAATCTTGCGATTTCGACCGTACTCTGTCGACTGACCAGACTCAACCCTTCCCTGGTGACCCGGCGACTCCTGTCCCCGACTCGGCTGCCGTCGGCCTGGAAGTTGACACCGTCTGTGAGACGTCGACGTCCGGCATGTTTCCTCTCGATGGACCGGCTGCCTTCGCGGAGACCGATAAACTGTCGTTTCTGGCCGACATCGTCAACACCAATCCGGACCGACATGGCATCTCTGTGCCGTGCGTTATGCAGGTCCAGACTACGGGAGACCAGCCGTTCGTCCGAGTGGAGCGTGGTGCGGATTTTGCAGACAACCTGCACGAAGATTTCTTCCCTCGAACATTTCCGAAGCTTTTTCCGTGGGGAAGGGGCGGCCCGAAATCGAAGGGCGACTCGAGTCATAGCCGACAAAGCGACACTCCCGACCATCGTCCGAATCACTCTCCAGTACTGGACCAGATACGTATTGCAACGGCATGGTGGCCGATTCGCCGCCCATCCTGTCTTTTGTTTCTTGGTATTCAACACCTCCTTCGCTCCTCCAACCGCCGCATCAGCATGGTCCGTGTCGCTAAAGATTCCTTCCACAGACTTGAGCAAGCCTATGCGAACTTGACCGAGGACCGGCTGAAGAGGGCCGAGGCGGAGATGCGGGAGACAAGGACAACGTCGGACCCCGACATATCGGTCTTGCTTCGCGAGCTGTCGATCTTTGGCTATGCACAGCCGCTCTCGAACGAATCCCGTTTACTTATGCGGAGGAAGATACAAGCTCTAGACATCCGCGCCGGTATGCCTGCAATCTGGATTACTATCAGTCCTAACGACATTAATAATCCGGTAAAGATGAAGCTTGCCATTCATAGGCTCCACGATTATGAGTCTGCAAAGGAACTTTTGGCCGATCTCCATGAAAAGTACGACAGAATCGCCTCAGCACCATGGATCCAGTTAGCTCGGCCATCTTCTTCCATCGGGAAGTATCCTTATTCTTTGAAAAGTACGTCAATGCGGGCCAGGAGTCGGTATTCGGGAAGATTAGCCACTACTACGCCACGGTGGAAACGAACGAGCGAGGCAGCCTCCACTTGCATGGACTTCTCTGGCTGGACGGCAACATGCGGTTACCGAACCTGATAGGCGACATGGCCAATCCCGCGGAAGAAGCATATCGTGCCCAGGTGATCCGATACGTAGACTCCGTCTTTCATGAGTGTCTAGATGAAGATGCCGGGAAAGCCGTGCGACAGGAGAGGAAGCCCATCCACCCCGTGGAGGAGGTCATGGCTAGCACCTCGGCTCTCACTGCGGCCTTCGACGACGAATCCAACTTCATCGCGTACTGTTGCCAAGTGCACTCCCACACGTACACCTGCCTCAAGTATTCTCTCAAGGATCGTCGAACAGGTACAGATCCACAGAGACGGACAGCCTGCCGCTTCAAAGCACCTTGGAAAATCGTCGACGAGACGGGGTTCACAGAGGACGGCCTGCTTCAGATCCGGCGCAACCACCCACTCGTCAATCGGTATAACAAGTCATTGGCGGTCGGCCTTCGCCATAATCACGACGTCTCGATGATCTTGACCAAAACCAAGGGCCTGGCCATGGTGTACTACATCACGAACTACGCCACCAAACTGGAAACGCCGATGTGGAAACGCATTGCTCTTGCCGCCGAGGTTGCCCGCCAACTTCGCGAAGCCGGTGGTACGAGGCTTCGCACGCCAGGTCCCACCCTGCCCGACGACAGGCAGCAGGTAGTTTTGAATGAAAGCCGTCAGTTCCTGATGAGAACGGCAAATCGGATCTTCTCCGAGCGACAACTCTCGGCTGTGGAGGTCTGTTACCATCTACTTGGATATGACACCGACTTTACCAACGTGCCGCATTGGTCTTTCCTGAACCTGACGGCGCTCTACTGGACAATCTTTCGGCTATGGGCGCATCTCCGCCATCAGGCCGGCGAGCTCACGGACGCCGAACAGCCCCGGAGACCATCCTCTGAGGCAAGGAGGGCGAACCCTTCTATGCCTAGATGTGTACGCCTACCGCGGTCATGTTCTACAAGACTTATGCCTGTATGACTACATGTCAATGGTTCACTTGGTGCGTCGAAATGGTCCGAGTGAAGATGAGTCTCGCATTTTTCTCGATGGGCAGGGCTCCGACCGTGACGGCTGGATGCAAAAGCTTCGACGGCCCGACCAGTACGCCGTCCCGATCTTCCAAGGATACATCAGCGACGACCATGAGGACGATCACCCAGTGTATGTTAAGCGGTACGCTCTAACCCCCCGGCACCATTTTTGGCTCCGTCTGACTACCTGTGCAGAAATTCTGTCCTACATTTGGCGTTATTCGTCCCTTGGGAAAACTTCATTTCTGAGAGCCAAGGCGATATAACCAGCATATGGACGAGGCATCGAGCGGGGCTTTGTCCTCGCCTCCGTTTCCATGTCTCCAATATTTGTCTTTGAGAAAGTCTGCCGAGGATGCGCGCAAGGACGCGAAGCTCTGGGCCAGTCGATCGGAGGGCGACGACACAATTGACGTCGAGTACCCACTTGACGCTGGCCGCTGCGAAGAGGAGCCTCCAGCGATGGCTCATCGTCAGGCCTACAAAGCTCTACTCCAGATTTTGCGAAATGCCGTGCAGGATACAGACGCCACGAAAGACTCACCCGTCCTTGGAGGTTTAATACGCGATCTGTGCGAAGAGAACCCGGCTGAAGAGGAGCAACCTTTGTGCAACGTCAGGAGGATTTGTACCGGAATATACCCCATGATCAAGGTGACGCCTTGTGCCAATTTCCAATATCTCGAGACGATGTCCAGGCAGCGGCCAAGGCCCAACAACTATTGCATCTTCGGATGCTAGACGACATTGAGGGTGGTTCTCAGGGGACCATCCTTTCCACGGACGGCGCCGACATCGACGATACCCTAGCTCGCTCAGTGATCGGAATGGTCCGGTATGAGTTGGTATTGGTATGGTAAATACCGCCAAGACCTGGTATGGTTTGACAAAAACTTGATACCATGGTATTACCGGTATACCGAATCATACCAGTAACGCTAAAAATAAGCTCAGGTAAGAGGCTCACTGCGGAGAATGACCAGGCAGAATCCGAGCGGCGATGATTCCAGTGTCATCTGTAGGGCTTATTGACCAGTTTTCTGCCAGTTTATCTACTCCATTCAATCATGAATACCATCATCCTCACAATAAGTTATCGACCTGGCTACCTTGGTCAGGTCGATCCGGCACCGAACGGATGCTTTTCGTCTTTGCTGCCGGGTAGCTATCCCAGGAAGGCACGAAGGTAAGGCTAGTGTTAGTGCGTATTAGAAAGTACTTCTCATTGCACCCAGTTTTATGAGTTCTTCCATGTAGGACGGAGCATGACCTAACGTATCACTGGCCAGACTTGTCAATCGCGTCGTCGGAGGGACAGGAAAAGCTTAAATGATCCTTTCAGGGACAGGAAAGCTTAAATGATCCTTTCAATCGAATTACTTCCGTGATGTTGGAGCCCGAAAATTTTTACGTTAGGCTAGTTGGACGATGGACCAAGATCGAATGATCGAAAGCCACCATAGTGACCATACCTTAACTGGTGTATGTCATGATCATGGAATCTCCAGCGCCAACCTCGCCATCTTCGTTTACGACAAGTTCAGCATCAATCCGCTCCAGATCTCCTGCATCGTGTCCCGCGCCACACTTTTCCGCTACGACGCCATCGTCTAATTCTGTCCGTTATCCTGAGCCTCCGGACGAATTCGTACAAGACCATGTCACGTACCTGCGTCGCGCGACGACGACGAAGAAGGCAGCTCGTCTCGGCTCGTTCGCATGTGTGGAAGTACGGTCTTCATTACATCCGAGACAGTGACAAGAAAGAGGTATACTACTGTCACGAATGTGCGATCGGAAAGTATAAGCAAGAGTTATTTGTGATCAATGGCACGTCGGGAGTGAGAAATCATCTCGAACAGAGGCACCAGATTGATCCACAAAGCGGCCTGAGGAAACGCGGTGCGACACGGGCGTCTGTATTGGAGCAACAGAAAAGCGCAGCTGCTAGTAGCAATTTTTTCTGGAAAGATACCGTTGAGAGGTTCAAAGAGCTTTTGATTCGTTGGGTTGTGTACTGCCATATTGCTTTCTTCCAGTTGGAGAACCAGTACTTCCGAGAGCTACTCTTCTTTCTGAACCCTGCTCTACTTAATCACCTCCCAAAGGCTGCGAAAACAATTCGAGGTTGGGTTATGGATGCGTTCCTGTCGAAGAAGCAACAGCTGAAAGAGGACCTCCAGCGGTCGCGGAGTAGAATCTCCATCTCCTTCGACCTCTGGACCTCGCCAAACCCGTACGCAATCCTGGGTGTCGTCGCCATGTGGATTGACGCCACCGGCAAGCGACGAAGTACCGTCCTGGGCATGCGACGCGTTCATGGCGAGCACAGTGGCGAGAATCTTGGGTCGACCGTTCTCGAATTATTGACGGAATATGACATTGGCGGAGATCAGATTGGATACTTCATGCTGGACAATGCTTCATCCAATGATACCGCTGTTGAGTTTATACTCAAGGAGCTCTGCCCATGGATGAAGCCGCAACAGCGTCGCCATCGCCGACTGCGCTGCTTGGGTCACATTGTCAACCTCTGCTGCCAGGCGTTTCTCATGGGTCGAAATTGTGAGAAGCATTTGGCGAAGCTTGAAAAGCACCACCAGCGCGGAGATTACGTGAAGGTAGAGGAGCTGTGGAAGAAGTTTGGATGTTTAGGCCGGCTCCATAACCTTGTGCGGTACATCCGGCTTACTCCTCAAAGGCGGGAGGAGTTTGCAGCAATTATTATCGGCGGCCATCTCTCCGAATTCGATGGGCTCGAGCTTATCCAGAACAACTCCACACGCTGGAATTCGTGGTTTCATTCGATCACACGAGCGTTAAATGTTCGAGAACGTTTGGAAATCTTCTCAGCTCGTCATGTACCAGGAGAGGGTCTCAAGGGATTTCGAACTTCAAACTAGATGGACAGCACTGGTTCGAGCTTGAAAAGATCGAGCTCGCACTAAAAGACTTCTTCGCGGCAACTATGCTTGCTGAAGGAAACAAGACATCCTCGCTGACTGGTTTTCGACTTTGGACTGTCTTCTCCGCGAGATCAACGAGACGAAGGTGTGACGGTACAAGTGCACGAACAAGGTCGGGTGCGACTTGGGTAAAGTGATTGTCTACGAAGAGAGAAGGAGGTTCCTAAGGAAGACTCTGACTTTCGCTATTTACATGAATCAAAGTGAGACATTTCATAAAGTATGAAAGTCACATGATCGTTCCTCACAGAAGGATCACTACCATGACATTCACGAGGAAGACGACGACGACAACTTCACGTGGAGGTATCTCCAAGGTTGTGCAGATGCTGCGTGGTCAAAGTGCGAGGAGTATTACAGCAACCGACAACGGAATTGGCAACATCGATTTCCTGAAGATACTGATCTTCCGCCAGCGTATTACGCAGCTCAAGTACTCAATCCGTATCGAAAGTGGGCATGGTTCAGGCAAGAATGGGTTCTTCAGGGCGACGAAGGAAGACAGAAGTGGTATGAAAGCGCACAGCTGGCGGTGAAGCAGCTCTGGGAGACAGAGTATAAGGAAAGTACCCTGTTGAGGCGCTACCACCTCCAGTCAGGAAGGACAAGGATCCAGACCCAGCATTCGATCGGCAGAGGGAACATAAGCGCATTCGCATAGACGGCCCGGCTGCTGCCACCGATCTGTATGAGCAGTATATTTCGACCGACCGGCTGCATGACGAGGAGGCAGGTTGCGATGAGGCCATCGCCTATTGGCTATCCGTTATGACTCGCAAAGAGACCTCGCCCGCTTCGCTCTGGATCTATTTGCGGTTTCCCCAATGTCATATGAGTGCGAACGGCTGTTTAGTAGCGCAAAGCTTGGTATAGTTGATCGTCGAGGTAGGCTTAAGGCAGATATCATAGAGGCTTGTGAGTGTCTACGTGCCTGGTATGGGAAGCCTCGGGCTGAGGATAGCGAAGATAGCGGGGATAGCGAGAATGAAAGCGAATAAGCGATCAAGTTGACAGCTAGTAGCCAATACATTTCCTATTTTTGCAACCCGCCTCATTCTGAGCGGTCTTGGCGGTATTACTGGTATTACCGGTAAGCCATACCGGTAAGGATATCAGCAGGTGGTATGGTATGGTATAGAGGTCATACCATACCATACCGGACCATTCCGATCACTGAGCTCGCTACGGCGATACGGAAACCACCATTGCGCACCCGGGAAGTGACCTCAATCAACAAGGGCCTCGAATGCTTGTCGACGTCAGTCCGGTGACTAGCTTCGCGGAGATGGGACACACCGCTGCAGCCACCTTCACACTGAACTATCTACAAACCGTGGCCCTTCAACTTGTTTGCGCATTTTTGGACAGGTATACCGCTCATCAGGACTCAGCCGGTCAACATCTTCAATATACCGGCGGGCCGGGTGGCACAGGAAAGTCGAGGATTATCGATGCCCTAAAGGACGTGTTCGCGGCGAGGAACCAACCACATCTTCTGCAGATAACCGGCACATCGGGCAGTTCGGCGGCCCAGATTGGCGGCACGACGATCCACTCGGCCTGTGGGTTAGATTCCCATCGCGATCCAAACAAGCCGCCTCCCCTTTTCGGAGGCGAAGAAATGGATATGGATGTTGCGATTGAACTTACTTCTATTCAATTCTGTCTGACAGCTCTCAACATACATATATACATAGTGGCACGTCCGTGCCACTATCCAGTGACTCACCACTTGTAACTGCTGCCTAAACATGTCTTGGTCCATGTCTCATATCAAGTCAACAATGGAAACAGAAGCTGGTACTCGTGATTGACGAGGTCAGTATGCTGGGAGGAGCCACTCTGCACAACGTCAGTCGCCACCTGCAGGCACTCCGTGACTGTCCAGACGAGCCGTTTGGTGGGATGCCTGTCGTTCTACTGATGGGAGACTTCTACCAGTTCGCCCCCGTGCGGGAAACAAGCCTCCTGATCAACAGACCGCCGGACCGAACACAGACCCCCCTGCGACAAGCGACCATCTCTCACCACAGCGGCTGCAGATTGTGGCATCTGTTCAAAACCGTTGTGCTCCTCGAAGACCAACTCCGGGCACGCAACGATCCCCAACTTCGCGCACTCCTGGATCGAGTTCGTAACGGGCGCCAGACGCAGCAAGACCTCGACTTGCTCAACGAAAACATTGTAGGACGCTCCCAAATCACCTTCCACGATGGTTTGCGTGCTATAACGCCACTGAACCGCACCCGCTGGGCCCTCAACATGGAAGCTGTCGTGGGCTGGGCGCGCTTCAACAAGCGGCATATCCGGATCTTTGTCTCGACTCACACCTGGCGCAACGGCACGCTTTCTCCAAACATCGTAGCGCGAACCATAGGACAAGGTGACGACTCCGCTTGCAAGGTCCCCGGCGTCTTCTTCTACGCCCAGGGCATGCCTGTGGTTGTGAACAAGAACATCTACACTGGCTTGAAAGTTGTGAATGGGGCCGACTTTACTGCCGTGGACGTAATACTCGATCCCAATCACCCAGGATACCACTTGGCGGATGACGTGACCATCCACTTCGGGCCACCGCTCGGCATTCTTCTGCAGTCCGAGGAGACGAAGGCCTTGGCGATACCGTCCTCCCGGTGGGGACGGTACTCATCCGCCCCATGTCACATACACTTGATTCGACTAACTCTCACTTCAAATTCTTGTCGGCAAGATGCACGCGACGTGGATTGCCCGTCGTACCAGCGTTCGTCCTCACCGATTACAAAGCCCAGGGTA